TATATATATATATATATATATATATACTTGAATGATTGTTTTCATTGATTGTGATTGAAAAATAATTTAAACATAAATATGCATTTTCTTTTGATGATCACAATGTTAATGAGAGGATTATTCGAGATAAAAGAATGAAAATGATATTGGAAATAAAATGGATGATAAATTTGGTGATGTTCAAGATAAACGTAAATCTATATCTTTTGTAAGTTTGATTGTGCTCTACCAACTCAAAATATCTACGTCCGCCACTGCCTGTTACGTTATATATGAGATATTTCAAAAAAGCCTAAAGCAAATACGGTATTTGCAAAGTATATGTGTGTATGTTAGAACACTGAGTGAAACTCCTCTCTTGTACTCATTTTTTGATATAGTGAATTTTTTCCTCCTCTGCCATGACTTTTTCTCTTTTAATATTTTTTTACATAAATTTGCATGTTCATATTACTATTTTTATATTGTCTATTCTCGTTTTTACTTAATAAACAATATAAACTACTTCTATTTAAATTATTGTTAAATATAGGGGTATATTAGAAAAAAAATGTAAGACTCCATTATAATTCCATTTCCTTAATCTATTTGAAAATAAAAACAAGCATATTTTTATGAAACGTATGGAATATTAAGCAAGAAAAAAAATTAAAATCTTATCGGTTATATTATTTAGTGCTTGTGAATGGAGCATTTATTATATACCAGAAAAGTTTTTGCGATGGATGGAAATCTGATGGAAACAGTCTCTCAAATTTAATTTTGTGGCTCTAATTTTTTATTTTTATTTTTATTTTTTTTCCCACCAGACGAGCAATTAATGACCTATTAATGTGAGAGTCGGTACTTAATTAATATGGTCTGATTTAGTCTTTAGAAAAATTAGTCACACTTAATTTTTATTTTATTATTATTATTTTTTTCTATCTACGGTCAAATCGCAGCCGTTGAAACAGATCACCTATAACCTCTTTTATACCCAAATTATAACCTTTTTTTATACAATATTTTTATTTTACAATTTTCGTTGTGAATGATTATTAAATTGCACTTTCTCTGTTTCATTTATATTGGATGACTCAATTATATAGTTCTATTTTTTTTTACTGAGAATGTTTTATTTTTATTTTTTGTTTACTAATATATCATTATTTATTTTTTCTAATTATGATCAAATTTTCCCACTTAATCTTGAAATTTTACAAATATAAATAAGGGTAGGTTAGGATTGTTTTTGGCAAAAATTGCATTTTCAATAACATTAAGGGCTCGTTTGAGCCGCTCCCACTTTCTTTTTTAAAAAAAATGCATTTTGTAATAGTGTTATGATGAAAAATATATGATTAAAAAATGGATTTACATGTAATATTATTTTATTGAAGAATATCTAATTGAAATTGGTCAAATCACTGTTCAAGAACACATTTTGATGAAAAATGGGGCTCAAATAAATGTTAAATAAGATTTAATTAATATATATAAATGGGACGACGAGAGTATATAATTAGGTGAATAATGTAGCAATATTAAATGGCTAAAACAACTTTTAAATTGTTTGAAATACTGTTCGTAATAAGAGATATTTTTCATCTTATTTACTTGAATCACTCCTTTTCTTACAGCTACATCCCACATGGAATGTCGCATTAAGTGTCTTAGAGATTGATATCTGATAAGTAATCATACATGATTATAGTGATATACATCGCCCACACGCTAAAAAAAGTGACATCATTTTTAAATTTATAATTTTACCAATTTGTCAATCATAGTTGGTTGTTAGGTCCCCTTCCAACCACCTCTATCCCTACTTTTAATTCCACCTTAATGTACAACTGCTCCTGTCTTAAATTTGTATACCAAAATACTCATCCTTTAAATCATATTTGATATTACAATATTTGAGTTGTCCAAACTTCCCATCCAACCTCATTTATGGTGGATAAATCGGACCGAAAATTCAGGAATCGGTTTGGAATAGGAATGATTGAGCCTTAACACGTATCATGTTACGTCGTTGTAGTTCGTTCTCACGTTCTTGAATCGATTGGAGTGGAATGATGAATCTATTTATCCGCTTCTTTGAGAATAAATCAGAATCCTGGTGGAGAATGGTCGGATATGATATTACAACGACCATTACATCTAATTCGGTAAAGATCCGAATAATTAGAAATCCTATCTTCTTCTTTTTTTTTTTTACCATAAAAATACGAACTAAAGGGTTTTTGTCTCTCCAGATCATTAGTTTCTGAGAGGTTAGAAGTATATCTTCGCTTGACAGAACGAGAATGCGCATTTATTTGATCTTGATCCTTGTGGAGCGAAAGTAAAACTAGACTAGATTTGCACGGCCCTCATGTATTTATTATTTTTTAACAATAGCTCGAAGTGAACTTTAGAACATTGAATAAGGGTATTTTAGCAATTTTTCCCCAGGCCAAGGCTAATATTCTAGGATCCCGACTATATATTTGCAGCATCCCATCCTTCTCAAACGCAACTATCACTTGAAGAAAAACATCATAAAATTTCAAAGGGAAAAAAAAAATGTCTCTAATCACAGATGAGATTAGATCCTCTGCAACAGAGTTCTACACTGGAAATGATATCTGCCAAGTAAAATCCAAGTTTTTGCTGACAGAAGTTGGGTTGCCGAATGGGCTTCTGCCATTGGAGGACATAGAAGAATGTGGGTATGTGAAGGACACAGGGTTTGTTTGGCTAAAACAGAAGAAAAAGACTGAGCACAAGTTTGAGGAAATTGGGAGGCTGGTCCAATATGCACCAGAGGTAACAGCCTATGTTGAGCCAAACAGGATCAAGAAACTGACAGGTGTCAAGGCCAAGGAACTGCTGATATGGATCACTCTCAATGAGATTTACGTAAACGATCCGCCGACCGGAAAGATCACGTTCAAGACTCCGGCCGGGCTGTCGCGAATCTTTCCGGTGTCGGCTTTTGAGATCAAAGAGGAGCCAAATGATGTGAAGGAGGAGAATGCTGCTGCTAAGGAAGTTAAAGAAACTGCTGCAGCTGTTGAAGTGAAAGAGGTTTAATGCTGATGCCTAGTCGAGTTCCTGTCTTTCTACGTGGTACTAATGGAAGCATAAGACGTATATAAGTTTATTTTGAAATACAGATGATTTTAATTAATGATTTTGTGTTTGCACATCTTTTTTAATTGGTTTTCAATCCATAATTATGATTTCAATTCCCAGATTGTAGATTTTCCTTTTAGGAGAATCAAAAGATTTAGTAAAAAATACAGAAAATTTGAGAGACTTTCGAGGGAGATTTTCTATTTTATTTAATAAACAACCAAAAAATCACATCAAATATTCAATATTTTTCTCGATCTAGCTATTCCACCATTCAATTCAAATACTTTATTCTAATTTCTGGAAATAATCCTCACAATTTCGTTTCTTATTTATGATCATAAATTTGCTGGGATTTGTGGGAAATTTATGGAAAGTTACAATCCCCACCACGGAATAGTGCACCTACACGCCTTTGTTGACGTTGTTTTTTGACCGTTAGGTACTTCTATCAATTACTTATTGAGTATATTGCATTTAATACGTACCCACTACGGTAAATAAATAACAAATTCATTCATCCTTAGATAAATTAAGGGAACGATATAATTGACAAAATTCAATCGTTGATCATCGACGGCATGATAGTTGATAATTCTGATTGAGATCAACATTTGTCGGTTACTTAAATGAATTTATTGACAACCACAACATTTGTGGTTATTGGCACACATTATGTAGTAATCAGCGACATTAAATGTCGTCATTGATATTATCAGAAATCATTGAAGGTATTTCAATCACCAGAACTTCTTGGTGATCGGTTAACATACGACCGTCGATGATTCTAATTGAAATTGATATATGTTGTTGATTCAAAAAAAAATTTATAATTTTTGATATATCTTCGTATGTTAATATCAACGAAAATGTCGCTATTGGTGTAGGAGGGAACCACCACAACCACCACGGTTCTTAAATTTTTTATTATCGACTTATCAAATTTTTTTAAAGGCAAGGCACCTTTTGAGTCTGGTCTATGGCCCATTATTAGCTGAAATTTTCCTTTCTTTGGCTGCTTGATTTTTTTGGTTCATGTTTACAAGTCAATGTATTGAGAAAAAATAAATTTTACGAAATGTGAGAATAAAAGTAATTTAATAAAAAGTATTTTTATTCAATATGAACACCTTTCCAAACATGTACTTATATTCAATATCTTTATCTATTATATTGTTCAATATAATAGATTGTAAGTTATTTTTTGGAGAATTTTCAGTATTTATCTTTATATTTTATATTAATCTATTCATTGACGAAACATTAATAACTAATAAGCATTCATAATCTTTTATTATTTTATCGTATTATTAGTGGAGCCATGAAAAATAATCAATCATGCTACTTGTACAATCTATTTTTAACAATTTTGATTGACAGCCATACTTGCTACACGACATTCATCCATTTCAAAAATTATTTTTTTAATTAATGGTTTAGATTTTGACAATATCAATGTTGCCGTCCATCATTGTTAGCCAAAATTGTACAAATAGATTAGTTCAAAAATCATAAATAAAACCCCTGTAGCTGCTGTTGGCAAGTAAACAAACCTGACCACCCTGAATCACAACAGGTAAGAGAAATTATAATTAATAATATTGCAATCTGCAGAGATTAATTATAATTAAGAAATTATAATTTATCCCGTTTGGCCCTTTTCTTTTCAAATTTTAATGGTTGAAATAGTGTTTTTTTGAAAAACGTGTGGTTGAAAAAGAATGAAAAGTTTTTCATTTTCGTGTAATATTATTTTATGAAAAATTATGTGATTGAAAATAAAGGAAAGAAAAAAAATGAGAAAAAGAATTGGGGCCAAATGAGGGTAATGGGATTACCCCGTTTAAGTATAATATGATGATAAAAGAACATGGTGCTAGCTGGAGAAATTGGAGAACATAAAACAGAAATGCTAATTCTTAATGAATTTTTCTTGCTTAAGCAAACTATGAAAACTACATCCAGATTTCGTCTTTTCGTTTCCTTCCCGATTTCTAACCTCCAAACACAACCTTTTTCTTTTTCCATTTTCAATATAACTCGTTTCTTCGAGGAGCAACTGAAAAATCTAATGCTTTCTAGTTATTTCTTATTATTATTTTTTTTATAACCTAAAATGGTCCACGATACATAATGTTCGTGAGCCCTTCGGCGTATTAATTGATTGAATTGTAGTGTGCGTGTCTGCGTGTGCGAGTGTGCGTGAAAGGTCGTGAATGAACATAGAAAATTGAATGTAATTACTAATTATAGTGAAATGCTAATTTAGCCTTTGCAATTTTCATGTGAATTAAACTAAAATTATGTGAAGTCTATTGATAATGAAAAGGTCTCAAAGATTTGAAAAACCATTTTCTTGTTCTTTTATTTGTCTAGGTGGGTAGATGTGGAATTTAACTACTAAATAATGTTAGGCATGTACAATCAAGTTAGGCTTGCTTGTAGGAATTAGACAAAAAATTAAGTGAATTTCGATTAAGCAAATATTTTAATAAACCGATAAAAATTTCCTATATTCAATTTCCATGATTTTGGAGCAATCAGAAAATTACAAAAATGAAGAATCAAGTTTGAATATTATAGAGCGATTTATAATATATTGTGTGAAATCGTCAATAAATATTATTTCTCTTATTCAATTCTTTATTTAACAATACTCCATACAACAATTTTACAATACTTGGCTTGACCTACTCCAAGTATACAAAATTCTTAAGAATCACTCAATGACAAGTTCTCGTTAAGTAGTACTTAATAGACGCAAAAATAAAAAGTATAATGCAATATTTCACTATATATATATATATATATATATATTTTAATTTTTTTTTATGAATATATCAATCATTGATGTCATAAAAATAAATATAATTAATTATAAGAACGAAATGACATTTAAACTTGAATCGGGAACTTGAATGAGAACCAAAAAATAGCTATCCGTTAGGGTAATAACATAAAAGTAAGAATGACTTAAAAGTAACTTTTAAGTTTAGACAAACATGTAGCAAGAATTATTTTTTATTAAGTAGTTTATTATTATTATTATTATTTTTTATTTTCACTTAAAAACGAGAGTGGAAATACTTAATATTGAAATCTGTGCAATTTGGTTATGTCCTTGGCCCCTTCTGCAGTCAGCACATGGCAGGGTCAACAAACGGACGGACCATATAGAAGGTCAAACTTGTCAATTTCCGGTTGTCACTAAAAAATACGAAAACAAAAGCATCGCCGTTGCCGGGGATCGAACCCGGGTCACCCGCGTGACAGGCGGGAATACTCACCACTATACTACAACGACCTGTTTGATACATTGCCACAGTGCTTTAAATATATTTGCTATTATTCGTTAGCGTAGCATGCTAATATAAATATCTTGTCAGAATTTTAATCCCATATCACTAATTATGAAGTGTTAAACAATATACAGAAACTTCAACATAGTGTAAAATTCACAAATATAAATATCGTGTCAGGATTTTAATCCCATATCGCTAGTTAGGAAGTTTTAAACAATATACGAAAACTTGAACAAAGTGTAAAAATCACAAACATAAATATCTTCTCAGGATTTTAATTCCATATTGCTAGTTAGGAAGTTTTAAACAACATAGAAAAACTTCAACGTAGAGTAAAATCACACAAATAGTATATCTATGTATAAGTTGTAAGTAGAGGCATAGTCAGGAGAGTAGAGTTGTGGAGGTAAATTTCATAAAATTTTAATTACGGGGGAGATTGAAAATTATAAGGATTTTTTTTTTTTTTAAATTTTGTGTAAAGTCTTGAAAATTCTATTTCAAAATTTTGGATTTCAAATTTATTGTAACACCACAACCTGCTGTATAATTAATTTTTTCATAATCAGTCATAAAAAAAAAAATAGTATTCTTAAATTGATAATGTTTGAATATATAATTTCAAGGAAATAATTTGCCCATTATATTATAAACAAATCTTTTTAATAACCAGCTAATTATATGAACCAAGCATAACAGCTTTTGCCAGAAAATCGATACATTCAAGGAAAAAATATTTTAAAAAATTAGATTAGATTATAGTATTTGTTATTACATATAAAAGAAGTTAATTGTTACACTCATCATCATGTTCTTCCAATCTTTTCGTCTCTCTTTTTATGGTATTCCTGGCGACTCGCCAGTATGCACAGAACTAAGAGAGACGGAGAAAGCATGTATGGAGTTATAAGCTGCTCAGTGTGAAAGATAAATAATGATAGTGATTTCATTCGTAATGACATTTCCAGATAAATAATAAGAGTGGATTTTTCAGAAAAATGAAACCTAATAATTTATTGGTTCACGTTTAAACTAGAATTAATTTTCTTTAAAAAGAAAAATTAAATAATTGTACATAGTCTAGGATCATTCCTCCATCAACCTCGATGATTAAATTGTTCAAAAATTAGTTGAAGATACCTTTATAGAATAATAATAATAAAATGCATAAAATAAGAAAACTTATTGAACGACAATAACCATGACAACACCATGTCCAAAGTAAAAATAGCCCGTTGTTAACTGGTACGACTCCTTTGGACAATCACTCTCAGAATACAACAACTGTATCACTTTTTTAACAATAACAAGTGATTTCTAAAAACTCTAAGATTTCCAAAAAAATAAAAGTAAAATAATTCTGGAATCGATCTTGTATAAAAGTACCTAAAATGAAAGGATCTCTGTGGTTAAGTTTAAAAATAAGTTATTTATTCCCAGTATTTTTTAAATGCTTAAATATCAAGGTGATGAATTTATTCTTAACTTTGACTAACAAAATATTATTTTAAATTTTACCTACATATATCTAGAAGCTCTCAGCAGAATATGCATTTACTTTTTTGTGTTTAAAAAAAAAATATTGTGAAATAACTATAAGGGAGGGATTGGATTATTTTGACATGATTTTGGACATGAAGAATAAAATAAAAAAGTCGTATCTTGATTAATTTTCATTTTTTTTTCGGGATTAAAATTTTAATACAAGTCAACTCAAAAAATAATTTTAATATATTTCAAAAGATACACAACTTTTAAACTACACATTTCATTATCTTTTATCAAAATTTACTAAAATCTAATTTTAATCCCCACCAAATATAGACTTTGTCTATTCTAAAGGTTTTAACTAGAAACATTGCGCAACACAACCCTAAAAATCATAAAG